CCTGGTGTTTGGGGGAGCCCCCCCCCCCTATAGAAAAAAACTTCTAAAAAAAAAAAAAAAAAAAAAGAAATATAGAGGCAGGAAGACAATTGTTCCATTGATAACCAAGAGAGAGATTACCATGCTGGGTTCAAAAGTCAAAAGTAATCATCTCTAGTAAAGTTATAATTATGTCCTTTAAAGATTCATATTATCATTGACATTGAATTTATTACCTTAAATTGTTCATAATATTGTACTCTTACCCTTTTTAAAAAATCTATAGAATTTGCAGATAATCCCTTTTTCCCAATATTGATAATTAATATTTTTTTCTTGAGGTTTATCAATTTTTAAAAAAGAATTATTTATTTTATTTTAAAATGTATTATTTTTTTTCAATTTGACGAGAGAGAGGGAGAGAGGAAACTGCCAAGGCTGGGACTCGAACTGTGGTCAGCCATGTGGGAATCTAGCTTTTTTTTTTAAGAATTATTTTGTTTAACTTTATTTATTTTAATTTGACCAGAGAGGAACAGAGAGAGAGAGAAAGCTGCCAGGTCCAGGACTCGAACCACGGTCAGCCATGTGGGAGTCCAGTGTTCTTAATTACCATGCCACTTGCTGGCCCCAGGAATCTAGCATCTTAACCTGCCAGCCACTTGCCAGCCCCAAGATTTATCAATGATTTTTTTTGTGTGTGTGTGTGTGTGTGTGTGTGTATGTTTAAAGAGGTTTTTGCTACAGGGCACGTGCACTCACCAGAAAGACAGAGACAGAGAGACAGAAAGCGAGAAATCACCCCCCAGGGAGGATGGCCAGGCTGCAATCCCTTCTCCTCCATTCTCCTCTCGGGATGTTGGGCACGCATGCACACGCACCCAGCATGAGTTTTAAGCCACTGGGTTCGGGACGCAAACCGTGGTCCACTACATGGGAGTCCAGCGACATAGCCATTATGCTAACTGCTGGTCCCAAGATTTATCAATGTTAACTGAAACTTTCAAAGAACAAACTTTTGGCTTTATTAATTTTATACATTTTTTTGTTTAATGCCTGATTCATTAATTTCTGATCATTATTCTTTTTTATTGCCAGAGGGTGTGTGTGCTTGCCAGAGGGCACATGCACTTGCCAAAGAGAGAAGCAGCACCTTCCGAGGGGCGTGATCATGCTGTAAACCTTTTCCCTTCCCAGCAGGATTTCAAGTACATATACACAAGTTGCCTGGGTTGGGATTCAAACCACAGTCAGCCATATGGGAACTGGGTCCCCATTCGCAGCACTTATGCATTATGCATACGTGCACAGCGTGATTTTCAAGATTCTGAGTCTGGGACTGGAACTGCAGAGATAGCCATATGGGATCCAGCACTTTAACCTCCACATTACCTGCTGGTCTGATAAGCACTATTTTTACCAACACCACTCAGTTCAACATATTTTCTAATTTTTTTTTTATTGCTAGAGGGCAATGTGTATTTGCTACAGAGACAGAGAAAGAGAGGGTAGAAAGGGAGAAAGAACCCCCCACAAAGGGCATGGTCATGCCACAAGACCTTCTCCTCCATTTCTCCCTCCTGTTGGGATTTTAGGCATGCATGTACATGTGCCCAGAATGTTTTTCAAGCTGCTAGGGCTGGATTCCTTAACCAGTAGGCTACAGGGTCTGTACACACTTGCAATTTCTTATTTGAGTCACTGATTATTTAGAAGAGTCATTTATTATTTAAATTATAGAATGCAAATACTTGGAAGGCAAATATTCGGCTTCCAAATATTTTTTATATCCTTTTTTCCCCATAAAGGTTTTCTTGTTTTTAAAGAGAGATTTTTGCTGTAGGGTGTGTGTGCTTGCCAGGGAGACAGAGAGATGGAAAGTGAGAAATCACCCCCCAGGGAGAGAGCCACGCCACAATCCCTTCTCTATTCTCTCGAGATTTTTGGGCATGCACGCACATGTGTCCAGCATGAGGTTTAAGCCACTGGGTCCAGTACTCAAACCACAGTCAACTATGTGGGAGTCCAGCAATGTAACCATTAATTCATCTGCTGGTCCCCCCATAAAGTGTTAAAGTAGAGGATTTTTTTTAATAGGGGTTTTTGCCTTAGGACACATGTGCTCACCAAGAGGGAGACAGAGGGAACCAGCAGTTAGCGTAATGGCTATGTCGCTGGACTCCCACGTAGTCGACCGCGGTACGCGTCCCGGACCCGGTGGCTTAAAACTCACGCCGGGCGC